GGCCAGGGATAATTCTCTACAGATCTGCAGATCACCAGTTTTTCACACAGAAGAATAACAGGCCGTCTTCTCTTCTCTACAGAAAGGATAAGTGAACTTGGTAACATGAAGAAAAATGTTTGAAAAAAGGTACGAAGTGTTGGTTCAGATGCAAGAACCACAAACTTGGGAGAAACTACATCTGACCGTCCATTCTCAAAGGTCTTGTTTTTCGGATTTTTTTTTTTCAAAACATATGAAAACACTGATAAATAGTTATTGTATACTTTTTCGTGTAACTATTTTTCTCAAAAAAAAATTTTTTTAAGGAATAAGGCAATGGAGAAAGCTGAAAATATACTTTACCCTGAACTGTAAATATTTACCTCTAGAGCTAAGTTTCCTTGAGTGGTGGAGGAGTAAAAATATACATGGTCTGGAGTTAAAAATTCATCTGTTATGTCCTCAGAAGACTCTGGTGAACAAGTTGATTGCACAGACTGATCCTATTAATAATAGAAGAAACTACTTTTAAGTTGGTGTTGTAAACAAATGCCTTTATGGTTCAGTGCAAATAACGAAGTTATCTAAAATTACCCAGTAGTCATTCTCTGATCCTGCCCTCCCTGCTTGCACACCTGCCTCTGCCCTCCTTCCCCACAGTAAGCTGTGAACCCCCTGGAACAGGTGTGGTGAATGACAATCCTGAGTCTCAGCGTCCACATCTGTATGATGGAGGGGGAGGTGACCTTTCTGCTCTAAAAGTCTCAAAAAGAAAGGCCATAGACAACTCCAGCTGGAGACTGAATTTAAACACTGATCCTCAGGCATACAGCCAAAGTCCGCATGTTGGCACTGTCCTCCAGACAAGGAGGCTGAGGCTGCTCAGAACTGGGGAGTCCCTTGGGTGTTATAGTTTAAAGGCAAGCATGATTTTTAAAACAGCATTTTAAAGTAAACTTATTTCTTAAAAGTAACACTTATTTCTTTAGCATCTGTGCTCCACCCCTTTCTTTTCTGCTTATTTCTCTATGTTCTGGCCCTGGTCCCCACATGGCCCGATAGCTGGCTCCTTTCCTCACCTCCGATCATCCCTTTGTAGAGGTTTTGTGGTTTATTACCTTGGGCACTGCTTTTGCCACACATTTCCTCTTCCTGAGCACTTAGCAGCGCTCTCTTTTACCTCTCATATCAAATCGAAACTTCTTAGACAGCCTGGCCTCCCATACCTTCCCCACTCTCCTGACAGACCTGCCTCTCCGGGCCAAGCCAGTATGCTTAATATGATGTACCCTTCCATCCCTCACGTGACAGAAGAAATAAATTGTTTTGTGAGTGGTTTGGGTGCTATGATTAAATACAATAGCATGTTCTTCAAAAGACCTCAAATTTATCACAATTTTTCATTGTTTCATTCTCAATTGCTATTTATATTCTTTAAGTGATTGTGGCCTCATGTCAATGATGATAAAAAAAATTTTGGTTCCTGAGTCTGGCTGGACTGTGGCCCAACTGCAGGCTTTGAGGATGTTAAACCCTTGAGGCAAAGCTGTAACCTCCGTGCAAACGCTAGGAAATGACCCACAGACCCTGCTGAGGTGCGGCTGTCAGGCACGGACATTCCTTCTGAGTTGAGAGCTGAATTTCAGTCTCAGAGCAGCGGTTCCCAACCTTTCTGGCACCAGGGACAGGTGCTCCTATGAAAATCTAACGCCTGATGATCTGAGGTGGAGCTGAGGCAGTGATGTTAGCACTGGGGAGTGGCTGCAAACACAGATGAAGCTTTGCTTGCTGGCCTGCTGTGTGGCCCGGTTCCTAACAGGCCATGGACTGGTACCGGTCTGCAGCCCAGCGACTGGGGATCCCTGTCTTAGAGGACAGTCCAGGTGAAGGCATTCTCATCACAACCCTGGCTTTGCTTTTCCTTCTCCCATCCAACCTCAGTTACCTGCTGGCCACTAGCTTAAGTATCTAACCCATGCTGTACCTCCACAGTTGGTCTTGTCTACCCACCTACATGGGACACTCAAGAGCCAGAGCTGAATCTGACACTTGTCTGTATGTCCCCCAAGCTCCAAGATACACAACGCTTTGAGTTGAACTGACTCAAAAAGTGTTAGGGAGGAAAAGACTTCTTCATTCATGTCAGACATGAGGGCACATACTCCAATGAAAAAGAACTACTGTAGATATTACTTCGATATCATAATATATAACAACAACTTGGTTCTACTTTGTTAGGTCCTTGGGTTCAACTGGGCTCTCAAGAACATAGTACTCACGCTGTAAGATTTCTCAATGATCACAGATGCTTCAGAAATTACTTGTAAGACTTGATTATGCTCTGGTTGCTTGTTTTTTCTGAGAGACAGGTGCCTGATATCTAAGGATTAAAACACAAACAGACCATAGCCATTCAGTGGTATTCAGATGGCATGGAAGGGCAAAGGGTGGCATGAGAGAAGAGATGCACGCATATTTTGCAAAGGGTAGCCATGTCCCATATGTCAGGTTCAGTCTAGAGAGTGGGAACTATTCATTTAGCCTGGCCCCAGCATGCAGCCCTGGATCATCCACAATTTTGTTCCCTCATTCGAGAGCGAAGCTTGACAATGTAAAGTACGGCACAGGGAATACAGTCAATAATACTGTAATAACTATCTATGGTCCCAGGTGGGTGGGTACTAGACTTATTGGGGGATCACTCTGTAAATTATATAAATGTCTAACCACTATGCTGTATACCCAAAACTAATATAAAATAATATTGAATGTCAACTGCAATTGGAAAAAAAAAAGAGTGAAGCTTGACAAAGAACAAATTCTTAATACCAAAAAATCTAAGCCAACAGATAGTTTTTCTACCTACAATAAATGATAATTTCAGACGTACCTATCTTTGACTTGCAAACAACCGTGAAGTAATGTCCCATACCCTGAATGTGAGCAAATTTCCAGATGAAAATACACATACAGCCTTCAGTTTTAACCTGCAAACCTTTAACTCTGACAGCCAAATGTTCCTCTGGCATAGACTCTCTGGGAGCCAGTAGAATTTTTCCAGCTTAAAATATAATGCAAAGAAATGAGCAGTAGGGAGTGGCTGCCCATCACTGCCCTCAGGTAAGGAAGGTTCAATGCCTTGCCAGTATCAGGGTTAGTGCATGGAGATTATCTGACTTCCTCTGAGAAAACAGGTCCACTCTGGCAATAGAAAAACTCATGAATCTCTGGATTTCTTTACCTGTGGGAAAGATAGTGGGATCAAAAGGGTATACTGCTTTCCCTGGGAATTCAGGGTTCCCAGACAGTAGAGAAGGAGAGAAAATCAAGCGAAGGAAATATTCCAGGAGTTTTACATTTTTGAGAGCTGGTAACTTGATAGAGTTCACCTATCCTGATTCCTCCAACAGAACTTACTGGTGAAGCCATGCTGGTCATTGTCACGGTCACTGTTGTCCGGTCTGTCACACTTGCCATTTCGTCCTGGCTCATCATATCTCCTGGGATACTCTACGACACGCTGCCAATCCACATTCTCAGCGTCCCTAATGGGCTGCAGCAGGGAATCGGGCTTGTTTTCAGCCTCATTCTCTGAAGTCAAACTACTCTGAGGATGCCAAGAAGGTACTGCCAGCTGCCCAGTAGCTGCTTTCTCTGCCATTTCTTTCACCTCCACTGGATATAAGAGAAAGCAGCATTTAAAACAGCACCGTGAACACAGCAAACAAAAGCTTTTGATTGTTAAAGAGATTTGTAATACTTTTATAGCTCCTATTGTCACAATAATTGCCTTCTTAGAATTGCATCACCCTTAGCTTACCTTGTTTAGCTTGAAGGGGAGGGGACGAAAGGAGAGGAGAGGAGGGGAGGGGAGGGAAGGGGAGCGGAGGAGAGGACTAATGACAGAGTGAGGGAAAGGCAGAACTTCAGTTAGAGCCCTTGTTGCTGAATTTCGGAGTGGAAGGCAGAAGAAAACTTGTAGATGGACCTTCTTGCTGTGAAGATTTTATAAGAAAATGACATCTGAAGCCTCCAGTCTGTAGAGAGTCTAAAGGATTTTATTTTATCTAGGCCATGCTGAGTTCATATTTTGGGAGTGTGTATATACGTGTGTTTTCATTATAGTCTATACTTTTGTTAATATCACTTTTTTGTTAATATCATTTAGCATTAGTATTTAAAAAATGGGTCGTTTTAAGCTTATAAGATAAAACTAATACAAAAGGATAATGCTCACAGGATATGTGAAAGTTACACTGCATGATTTTTACTTTAATAATCTTATATATTAAATACCTATATTGTGTGTTTTTACTACACTTATTTATAATATGTTAATATGTTAAAAGTATTTTCTATGCAGTCTTGAAATGAAAACAGCATTTCTCTTCTGCAGTTTGTAATCAAAATGGAATGATCTAACAGAAAAAAGAATGTGGGAGGACAGTACAATATAGGCTGTGCACTTAGAGATAACAACCAGGTAAGAGTTCAAATTTCATTGTCCAACAGAAGCTATACTTTTTACTCACTTTTCCATTTCAAGTGTACCTTTCCATTATCTTCATTTCTTGACTTCGTATTATACATTTCAGAAGACACAGATTCCGCAGCGGTCCTAAATTGCATAGGTTTTTTGGAGGGAGAGGAGCGGGGTAGACACAAACACATCAGATTGCTCGTCTTGACACAACCCTGAACCCACCAGCCAACCAGAGGACCATCTCCTATAGGACTCTTCGAGCCATTCCTGGGGTTGCACTGACTCCAGTCCACCACCAGAGGGAGCAAGACACTGAAGCATTCAGCCAGCAACACTCCTTACCTAGTAGAGCGTCTGGATGCCACTAGGGGTCCCTGTGGGTGGTTTGACATGGTGAAGAGTGCGCTATTTAGCTGTGTCACTTTGGCTTGGGCACTGGACTCTCTAGGCTTTTCTTGGCTAAGAAATGAAAGGGGTTAGAAAATCTCTAGAGGTTTTTTGTTTTCAAGTTCAGATTTCATGATTCTAAAAGTGCTCTTGGAAAATTTTCAGAAGTAGAAGAAACCCACAATTAGAATGCACTTTCACAAGGCAGAATCCTGGTCCTCAGGCTGCTGCAGAGCCTCTCTCCCCCACAATGCCATAGAACACAGTGATGGCTCAGTAACTGGTTCTGTCCTCTGATCAGAATTCTCTAGTAACAGGCACACCTGCATATCAGCGATAGCATCGTAACTAAAATATGTAAAGATGGACTTAAGGCACCAGGAATCCTAAAGAACATTCAGAGACCTCCAGGCTAGTTTCACTGAGTTCTAGACTCTGACCTGCCACTAGCTAGTTGTCTGACATTAGCAAACTTTAATCTTTTGGGGCCAAGGTTTTCTCATCTGCAAAACAAAGGAGGGTCTTTTCCTCTAAATATCCCATGACTATATATATTTTACTGTCTATTAAACTATTCAAAATGTGTGATCTGTGGCACACCCATGAATTCTCTGTTATCTAGAATGCCCCACTCTCCTGCTGTACCAGAAAGCAGAGAGACGTTGAATTGGAAAGGTCAGATCTGATCAGCTTCCTTAAAGAGCAATTTGGCAACAAAGATTCTCAAGAATCTTTAAGATGTTCAAACCCTTTGACCTAGTAACTCTGCTTCTGGAAATCTATTAAAGACATAATCCAAAATGCAGAAAAAGCTTTATTTACAAGTCACTGTGGTCCTATTCATAATGAAAAAAAAATGAAACAAGCTAAAATTCAACAATGGGGGAAATTCAAAAATTTCAAAATAAGTTTACAGGGTATTTTTAATAATGTGAGATAACGTCCATATTCTAATATAAAGTGAAAGGTCAGGATATAATACATTATAATTATAATAATACAATCGGAATATAATCAAAATGTATACATTTATTATACAGTTGTACACTTATATAACATTATTAATCAATGTTGCCTCAATAAATTTAATTTTAAAAAAGATATACATGTATATAATTATGATTTTATTTTTTTAAAGCATATAAAAGGACTAAGTGGATTAGCAGCAAAATGTTAAAGTTAACTTTGGTTTTTTGGTTTTTTTTTTTTTGCTCTTTTGGAGGAAGAGGGTGTAGCTGGGCAAAGAAGGCACAACTATAGCTTTTGCTTTGTTGTCTAATGACCACTGGCACCCTATCTATTTTTATCGATGATGTGAATGCTAAACCTTCTGATGCCTTCCATTAGGTGATTCTTTAATAACTCCCTTCATAAAGGTAAAATACACTAACATAAAATGTCTGTGCATTTTCCTTGATTCTCCTTTAATGTACACATCTGCCAACATTAAAAAAAAAAAACAACCAAAACAGCAAACTCTTGTCCTTAGTCTCAATCACCACTGGGAGAGGGAACAAAAATTTTTTGTCCAGAACTGACTTCAAAGCTGTGGATTAGTGCTGCCATTTGACCACAGAAAAGGAAAACTACAACTGAGCCTATCTTGAAAAACATTTATTGCTCCTTTCCTAATTCTTCCTATGCAAAATTAAATTAGTTTTACATAGGTTCTTAAGAACCCAGTGTACACATATGCTCTTCTTCCAGTGATTTGTGTTAAAGCTATTTTTGTGCTAAAGCTATTTCCCTTTGTTGATATGGCTGGAAACCAGAAGCTACAAGGTAACAGTGATACTGTTCTACCTCCTCCTTCTGCCCTCCTGTCAGTGATGCTTATTTTGAACCACATAGTTTGGTTTATGGAGCCTTGGCAAATGGAATGCCTGGCATTTCCTTTGATAAGAAAAACCACCTGCGCAGCTTTGGAAAGGCAAGATGCTTTGCTTCTGACAGTTGCTGAGTTCTGTCTGATTAACCTGCCGGGTGCTTTACCTTTGATGTCTCCTACAAGTTTCCATTACACTGCTCTTTTTGCTCACTTAACAGAGAGAACCTGCCAAAGTCTGTTTCAGTGTTACTATTCTTATCACTCACTTTGTCATTAGACATATGAAGATCATCAAGTGGCCTCAGGGCCACATGGGAGTCTAAAGGCATGGTGATACAAAGAACAATAAAATGTTAACCTACCTGCTGGTATTTTGGTTCCTATTTCTTTCCAAACTGTCCTTGGCTCCTGGAGTGGGCTGAAATTGTTCACCTGTGCTCTGTTTGCCAGGGCCACAAAGAGTTGGCAGCTTAAAAAGCAATAAACATGTTTTAGTGCTTTGATGAAGGAATTCCTTTTCTTCACTCTCACATTCTATTTTAAAAGTCATTCTTGCTAAATGTGTAGAAATAAGCAGATCTACCAAGATGATTTCTCTATATTATATTACGGCAGCAGGCTTTGTGGCAGGAATCCTGGGCCCCGAGTTCTAGTCTAATTCTTACTCAAGCTAACCTAAGAGTTTTGTGCTTCAATTTCCTCATCCCAGAAAACAGGGACAATAGCATCTGCCTGAACCCACCAATGGGGGTGCTATGAAAATAAAACACAATAAAATAAAGGCTATAATACTTTAGAAATAGTAAAATAAATGAAAGCCTATGCCATTCACCCAAAAGAAAGACTTCTGGATCTGATTATTCCAATTTTAACAAATTTAGTTAACTATATTTCCTAACCTACAGAAAGTTAAGGGCAACAAATGTGGGGTTTGGGTGGGGCAGCAAGATGCCTAAAACTGAGATGATGCATAAAAGCAATCACAAGCATCCTGAAGTATAACCACCAGAGGCCTCTGCTTGGGGACAAACATCCTCAGCCAGGGCTGAAGGCGGCCTGTGTCACAGAGCATCACAATAACAGATGTTCAGAAAAATGTCACAGCCACCAAGGAGAGGTTAGACTATATTCAAAAAAGGTATTTAGAATAATGGGAAATTTGTAGTGTTTTCATTCAGTATGATTTAAAATTTAAGAACTGAGAAATTAATCAATTTCAATTGTATAAAAAATTCACCTAAGTGAAAATGCCTTATTCCTTAATTATGCTAGAAAACCAGGGGAGATTTTTTAAAGAGACATTAAATACGGTTTTATACACAGTTGTATATACTAACTAGTAGATGGTTCTAGCGATGCCTGCCATCAATTCTGCCCCTCCCTGCCCACTCTGCTGCTCCAGAGCTGGTGTCTATTTCCCTCCCTTTAAGTAGCACAAGTGACATTTTCCTAGGGCTGGGACTAGTTTTTAAGAGGCCTGGAACCTTCAGCTTTCATTTGGAAGGCCAGCTGCCCTGCTGTAGAGATGCTTAGATGGGACAATTTAGTGAATAATAAGAAACCAAGTGCAGAGAGAGGGTGCCTGGAGGAGCCCAAGGCAACAAACATAGAAGTGAAGCCATCCTGGACCTTTTTGCTTAGCCCGACCTCCAGCTGAATGCAGTCCAGGCAGTGATCCCAGCCCCTGCCACATGGAGTGGAAAAAATTATACAGGTAACCCCTATCACATTCCTGACCCACAGATTTGTGTGTAGTAACAAACCACTGTTACTTTAAGCCATTAATCGTTTGTTGTTGTCGTTGTTAAACAGCAATAGATAACCAAAACATAATATACAAGAAAAGTTATGTCTAATAGTTTTTTTTAGCGAACTCTGATTTTCAAAAGAAACAAATATTAGAATCTACATAAATCCTTCCTGCCTTCTCTTTGTATAAAAACAAATATCAGTGCTTTTCTAAATGTTCTAAGTGAGGACAGAAGCCTTGCTGAAATTCATCAGGGTACGATGAAAGAACACTGGACTAGAAGTCAGGAAACCTGCCCCTAACCTGTGGGTAAGTTGTGGGCCTTGGCAGCAACGTAGGAGTGGGGGTATGGGGGAGCTGTCTGCCTTGTGCCGGCAATAAGGGGGTGGAGAGTAGGTGGAGAGTAGGTGGAGAATTTCGTGGCGCTGATAAAACCCACTAAAAGTCAGCCTGCTTTCATCTCCATTGGTCAGCAATTCTAATTAATTTTAGTAATAAAATCTTCCTTCCAATAGAGCTGACCTCTCCTACTCCACCTTCATCTCGGTAAGTAATACCTGGACCTCGGGAAGTTTGTTACTGAGCTCGAGCTTCACACTCTGTGACGTGATGAGGTTGATCTATCTCTAAAATTCTATGATTCGAGAAGCAGCTAGCTCTCTGTGTGTGAATTTGTTCAAATTCTTTCATCTATTCGTGGCCTCAATGACCATTGATCAGTACCTTCTATGTGCCAGGCACCTTGCTAGATGTTCGGACAAAGAATGAATTAGACCTAGACCTGGTCCCTCAGGAGCTCATGGAGAAGCCGCTCTACAGCCTCCCTAAGCCTCAAGCTAAACCTCCTGGGCCAGCTCCCATGCTGTCTGAGCTACTCCCAGGTAGAGCTTGCAGCTAACTCATCAAATCCCAGGATCTAATTAATATATAGCCTCTGATTCTATAAATGTTTGTTGGATGAGTGAATGACTGACTGAATAAGCAATGGGGAATGGAGCTTAAAACCTGCCCAAGATACCACAGTTAGTAAGTTGAACCATATGAAATTGTCCATTCTTGATTATTTTGACCTATAAAACAGAAATTTCATGTGGTTCAACTTGATGCACGGAATTTACAGAGAAGGACATGAGCGGTGTGTCAGGTTGAGAGGTGAAGAGTATCTACCTTGGAATTTCACTCTAGAGGTCTTATTTCCCAAAGCTAAGAGGACTCCGCTACGAGTTGGTTGTATTTATGTCCGTCCTTGCGCAGGGGTTAGGGGCAATGCTGAACCCGGCTACAGGTCCTGCTCAGGCACCCTACCTCCCACTTCTTAGCTTTACCTGATGGCTCTTCTCTGACAGATCCCCAGTGCTTTCTTCAAAGACTTGGGTGAAAGTAGTAAAAGGTTTCCAGTCACAGCCACTTTTTTTTCTGGTCCTTTTACCAAAATGTCCTGCTTCAAAGTCTCTCACTATTCTTGGAGACCTTGCTAGGGTCGGGCAATTGCCCCTGGCATCCAGTGGCTCGTCTTCAGGCAGCTGCATGACAGGTGGAACATAACTGGAAGCTGGGGGGCCCAGGGCTGGCGACAAGTCATAGACGTTAGCAAACTCTCTTGAAGAAGCCCACAGAGACCTGCGCTCCTCCTGCTCCTTCTGGATCATCTCCAGCTTACTGATTTTCTGCTGGGTTTTCCTCAGCAAATCGGCATTCTGGTGCATTAGCATCTGTGCAATCTTTAAATTCAGCACACACTTACTGATGTACTCCTCGGTCATGGACCTATTCCTCGTGTTGCCCTTGGCCTCTCTGGCTGGCTCAGGCAGGCTGGGTGAACTAAGCGAACCGTTTTGCCAGTCCCAGTCCTCAAAGGAGAGCTCTGTGTCAGCTTCCGAAGAGCTCTCATCCTCGTCATAAAAACAGCACGCTTCTCTCTCCATCTTTTCCAACTCATCTTCCAAGGACTTCAGCTCATTTCCCTGGTTGGGTCTAGTCCCCTCAACAGATGAACCAGCTCCTGGGGACTCCTCTTTGTCATCTCCCACGTCCAGGCAGCCTGAGTAGATTTCGTTGATTTCAAAGCTGCAGAGGCTCGCTTGACCAGGGCTGGGGCTTCTGGCCTCTTCTGCCATAGAGCAAGCAGGAGAAGCAGCATCTTGGTTCTGAGTCTCCTCGGCCATCAGATTTGGATCTGGGGCCTGAGGATCTGGTGTTGCTTTTCCGACAGGAGAAGACTGACTCCTTGGTGAATGAAGCTGACTGCCTGCTGAAAAGAGCAGCAACATGCAAATGACTAAAGTGATCACATGCAACAGGTAAGCAGCCTTGGTTGTTGTTTGAGTGGCATAAGAATGCAAAAAGCAGCTATTTTCTCACTCCCTTCTCAGGTGTGGAAGACTAACAGATATACACACAGAAGGCGAGAGGGTATTTCTAACCCAAGTGAAAGTTCCCATTTGACACGGGCTGAGGTAGAAAATCTGGGAGGGATCAAACCCTGGAGGAAACAGTCTAAGCTTAAGCTACAGTTTGGTCAAAACATGAATAACTGTCAGCACATGCAAATTACAGATCCCTGAATCTTAAGGACTAAAGTCATAGCTTTCTGGATACACACAAGAGTTTGAATACCCATGTAGGTTAAAGTTACGTTCTTGATGAGCATTTGATAAAAGTAGTTGAGACATTGCCTCGAAAAATAACAGCAGGGACTGACCACCCATCACCCTGGATGATGATGCACAGCTCTCAGAGAACAGGACGGAGGAACTAAAGTCAGGAGAGCTTCTTGGCGGGGGGCCATTCTGAGGGCCTCCAGCCCTGCCCAAAGAAAGACAGAGAGAATGGTCACTTGGCCTGGGTTCTAGCTCCATAACAAGCTCTGAAATCCTGAGCATGCCACGACCTCTCTGACGATTGCAAGACCCCTTCCAGCTCTGAATGCTAAGGTTTCTAAATGTAGTAAAAAGAAGTAAGGCTATAGGAAAAAGTTGGAAAGAAACACCAAAATGTTAAATTATTTCCAAGTGGCAGAATTAAAATGGTAAGTAATTTTCTTCTTTGCACTGTTTCAGACTTTCTATAATGAGCAGGTAAAAATTATAAATTAAGAAATCATTATTTCTTAAGCAGTGAGAAAAATCCCTAAGGGCACTCATGCTAGAAATAAACTTGTTTTGCTGCTTAGTTCTGGGTCCAACCAAGGTGTACATGGAGCTCAAAAAGTTTAACTTAATAATTTCAAGGATCTTGATTTTTTTTTTCCTAAGGATCTGTCTTTTCCCAATGTAAGTGACATGTACAGTTTAGAGGAGTTGATTAGTTGCAGCTCGAGACTCCGAGAACACATTCTTGTCAAAACCTGTGGGTTAAGGCCATACCGGCTTCCTTCAGCTCTTTTATTTCCAAATCGGAGGTCTCCTTTGGATGTTCTGAAGTCAGTCCTAGGTAGACATCGACATCTGGATGCAGTTCGTATCTCTGCACCCCAGAGCTCTCGGCTGGCTGAGTTCTCTGGGCTCCAATTAAATCCTGTAACGAGGTAAATGTTGTCAAGGACGTATGTGCAATCATCTGAATGTCACTGGTATTTCAGAAACCAATATAGGTATCCAATAAATCCCCTCTTGCTCCTGTTGAGTAGACTGACTGTAGTCCCGATTAGCTAATTCGTTATTATTTTAAAAGCAATAACAATAGCTGCCATTCATTGAGTCCCACTATGTGCCTACAAGGTGCCCTACTATGTGCTGACCCTCCCCAGCTTCCCTCATCAATTCCTGGCTGCCCTCACCAAGTTAAGCAGTTAGGCTTTTCTCAGGAATACAGAAAGGGTATCATGCAATGAGGATTCCCAAAACTTCTTACATCTTGATCTCTGGCTTCTTCTTGGTCTCTAACTCTCTACTCCCCTGAGATGAAGAAGCAGAAATAAACTCCCAACAGCTTTAGAGTTTACCTTTAGGTCATTCTTCAGGATATACCGTATATCTTGAAGGTTCATAGTTCGGTCTTTCTGCTTGACCTGGATGCCTGACTTAACAATATCATAGTAAGGTTTTGGAAGCCTGACATCGGCTTCTAAATAATTTCCCAAGACAATGGCTTCTTTAATAACTGAGCCGTCTAAGCCATCCCAGGGTATGTTGTCTGTTAAAGAAAAATTTGGAAGGAGTAACATTAAGAACTCAGATAAAATTGGGTAGCCTTAGCCCAGTCACTCGACCCCTTTAAAACATGAATTTCCCTCTATAGAAAAACTACCTGGAAGCCCAATGACAAACAAGAAGCCACTTTCCCCATTTACCAGGGAAGCCCTGCTGCAGAGACAGGAAAAAGTAGTCATAGAATCATGTACACGTGGGCTTCCCACTAACAGACCTGGGGACCACAGAGCATGTTCCATGGGGTCGGGCTGGGTTGCCCAACATGCTCCTCTCATGGAAGGGGTGGTTTTGCCTCTGAGACTGTAAACACTGCCAAACAGGGGCTGCCTGTCACTTACCCCCACAGTGAATGTGCGCACATGGGTATGTCCCTCTCCTAAAGGATTCCACCCGTTTTCAGATATGTGACTATTTCATTCACACTAGAATCCTGCATGTTTGAAAGGGCTTCCGTGTCTTTAAGTGACACTGCTTATAACTGAACTCTGGTGTGTCTGATTTTATAGTTTACTTCTCAGAAGACAGTCTTCTCCACTTATTTACAAGTTCTTAAGACGTACTTCAGAGAGACTCCCTAAGTATTGTCAGCAATATTCAGTTTTAAAAATTTTCTTGGATTAAGTGCATTACTACTAACAAGCTGATAGATAGGCTTTGCTGAATCTTAAAGAACAGGTTAAAAGAGAAAGATGCCTGGGAGATTATCTTATATTTTCCATAAGGACAAAGAGGTTTCCCTGAAGAAATCTCTTTTTCCTATGCCTGCATTTTCCTAAAACTTAGTAACTCGTGGGGAGAAAAAATCCAACCTAAGAATAGGAACTTTGGTTACAGTCAATGTGCTCTTTGATCTACCTGTTAAAATCTCCTGTATGATCATAGAGAAGCTGTAGATGTCCGATTTCACTGTGGCTGCCTTCTGTAAAACCACCTCTGGGGCAGCCCAGTTGTACAGCTGGGTCGGGAGAGGTACTCGAGTCAGGTCCCTGTGTACACCTCCATCCTGGCTACAGAAGGAAACACAAGGGAGGGCTCATGTCTTAAAGATTGGTTCTGGTCATCATGCAGTACACATGTGAAACATTTGCCTCTGAAGACTAGAAACCTCCTGGAATTTCTGGAAATTCAGCTGGACCCTGAGCTGATACCAGCTGCCTGCTATTCCAACACCTGCAATTCCTCACCCTTCCTACCCATGTGGGCCCTGCCTACCCTCCCACCTCATTTGGCCATTCTCTCCTGCTCACTCACTCCACTCAAATCGCAGGGGCCCTCTTTCAGTTTCTCCAACATGCCAAGCACCATCACCTCCCCTTCAGGTCTTTGCACTAGTGGCTTCTTCTGCCTGGCACACTCTACCCACAGATCCAAGCACGACTGTTGCTTCTTCTAATAGGAGTATTTGCTCAAAAATCACCTCCTCAGGGAAGCCTTCCCCAACCACCTAATCCAAAGTAGTCATGTTTTACTGGCTTCAGAGCACTTACTATCTGAATTTCTTATGCATTTCTTGTTTATTATCTGTCTCTCCTCCACTAGAGTCAGCTCCATGAGGGTAGGTAAGCACCTTGTCTGTTTTTTATATCTCTAAACTTACACCAGGGCCTCAATGCTTACTTTTGAATAAGACTTTTTCAATATTCAAGCCCCCGATGCTTTCTCAAAGCCTTTTGGGACTTGTCCAGCTCCTTGTGATTGCTTCTTTCTGAATTCTGACCTGTTGGGAATGGGCTCTCTCAGTTCAGCACTCAAGGGTACACTGATTTACTTGAATACCCTAACTTTCCAACCAGACTCCTTGAGAACTGTGTCAGAGCATTCTAAATGTATTCTGAACCAACCAGAGTCCTCAGAGTGAGGTCAGTGCTGACATCTGCCCACAGCTGCCATGAACATCAAATGAGATCTTGTGTGGAAACACTTCATGACCCATAAAGCACTATGGAAATGAGGAATTAATATGAACATTATGGTGGGCATTTGGTAAAGACTTGATGACTGCTGGTTGATAACTAAGAATTAAGTTTTTAAAAAGCAAGTGACCAGCAGTTCTTTGCTGGTCTGGCAAAGGATAGATTATAGAGGATGGGATGGGCTTCTCAGACTTTGAGCAAACCTCCCTAAATAATATTTCTTCTAGCAGAGCTTGTGATAGACGGCAGTGAGTCCAAGAAGCCATGAAGTTATTAGAAAAGCCGATATTGACTTTTTACTTGTATTGCTAAGTAGTTAGCTGTGGCCTGGTACGGTGTGAGAAGCGTGGATACACATGCCAATATATTAGTTTCACAGGAAAGGCAATGGAGTGCTTAGCACACTTGGCTCTTCACGTTGCAGGGAGATTCTCCAGTCACCTACTTTGTCAGGCCTCTCAGGCTTGTCTAAGGCTCTGGCAAGAGACAAGTCACTTACAACCAGGATTATAACCTTTCTCTTTTACTTCCTCTTACCTTTCTCACTTATGATCCCTCTTCCTTCTCTGTTAAAGCTAGTTAGGTGCTGGAGGGAGGGCTTCGTTTCTAGCTGTCATTCCAGGGCAGTTATTTTTTTGGGCTTCAGATTTGACGTCATTAAAATTACATTTGGCTGCAGCTATTTGATACCATTTGCAAGGTCATTTCTAGCTCTAAAGAGTCCATTAAGAAGGAGTGAAAGAATAAGAGCAACTGCTGTATCATTTTTACACCAAGAGATTGCTCCCCTTGACAATGACATTCAACAAACCTATCAGCTCAAATAGAGTGTTACTAAAAATAAATGTGGAACTGAAAGCTATTTTGGATTCTTGGATAATCAGCTCATGTTATCAGCTATCAAAAACGGGTACCCTGTTATGGCTGCAACTGCTTGTTGCCTGACATTTCTGTCTGAAGTTCCATTTCTTTGGAGAGGTCGACAATCCCAAAAGAGAACTCACATTTTCCTACCAAGTTACTTCCAGACCCTCACTTGATGAGTCTGTGAACCCCAGCTCCTCAGTGTATCTCACGTATTTCTCTCTTCTGTTTTGGTTCTTTGTCCCCCACCAGCCCCTACCCTGTGGCCTCCTAGCTGGTCTTCCTGCCCTTGACCTTCCATCTATCCTGTCCCTGTAGCCAGAAGACGTCCTGGCTAGTCATGGCTGGGTAACTTCAGATCGTCTGTTCACCTCTCTGAGCCTCAGTTTCTTCATCTATAAAAGGACAGGGTTGGGATGGGCCTCTCCAAAGCTCCATTTCACTCTAGGATTCACATTTCTATTGAGAGTTTGAGCAGAAAAAACTGTTATACTTCCAGGTCAACAACAGATGGCGCTCTATCGCTGGCAAACAGCTTGGATTCTGTTAGTCTCCCTGTAAAGGAAAAAATGTCCAAACCCCTCCTAGCTCCTGAACACACAACCAAAGTGGTCAACCCTTTGTTCTGAATTGTTTCCAGTTTTCCCTTCATCTAGACTCATCCATTCACTTAACAAACGTTTACTGAGTACTCACTATGTGGCAGGCCCTGAGCTGGGTGCTGAAGGTGAGCAAGCCATGGTTCCTGCCCTCTTAGAATTTGCCATCCGGTGGGCAGACTCACTTGACTGGGAAAGAATGAAATATGCAAGGTGCTGTGGAGAAAGGCTTCAGTACAGGCTTCATGGGATGTGGTGAGAAAATGTATCTGAGGTGAGTTTGAAAAGATAAACAGGTGAGTGCCAAGTATTCCAGATGTGGGGCGCGGTACTGTGTAAGGACATGGACTGATAGTGGCTTCAGATGGCCGGGCAGGGAGTGGGCAGTGACGAGGCTGGCACTGTGGTTGGAGTCCTGCCCTGGAAGACTTCCACACTCTGCAAAGTACCTGGACTTAACCTTGTAGGCAGTGGGGAGCCACTGAAAGGTTTTAACTAGGATTGAGAATGGACCAGATCTGAGGCTGAGCAGCTCAACTGGTGATACCTGTCTGGCCTCCACTGGTTCCCACAGGGAAAACTGCTCCAGACACACCTTCATGGCTCCCCTGATTCTCTTTTGTTCCATCATGGCTCCTTCACATGCAGGAGCAAAAGGGATCTTTACCTGTAAATCATCTATGATACCATCCTGCTCAAAAAAACCCTTCCACAGCATCCCAGTGTTCTTAGGAGAAAATTAAGTCTTCACCAAGGCCCACAAGGTCAAGCACAACAATATGGCCCCTGCTCTCCTCTCCAAGCAGAGGGACAGGGGCACCCAAGGTCATGGAGGTGAGAATCTTCCCATTTCATTCATTAGAAAAACATGCTGAGCACCTGCTGTGTGAAGGCCTGTTTCAGGCATCTGAGATACAGCAATGGATAAAACAGAAATCCCTGCCTTCAAGCTTTTCACGTAGTGAGAGAAGTAAATTACGAGTATGTGAGAAGCAACGACCAGCCAAGAGACTAGGGAGTGGGGGGCCAAGGTTAAGCAGAGGCAGGCAGGTCTAAGAAGGGGGCTGGCCAGAAGCTGAGGCCTCAGAGCAGGGCAGAGCCCACACTGGGCTAAAGGCTCAGAGCTGTGGATGGCAGCAAGAAAGTGCAGAGAAGATCCGGTGCCTCCCAGAGCCCTACTAAGGACAGGAAATGGGGTTCAGCCCCCAGCTCTCAGGAAGACTCTGACTCCTGCTAAACAGGAAATGAAGCCCATTCACAAACCCTTGAATGAGGGCATTGTTTTTGTCACTGCTGCCCTGACTACACTGAGCACCTTGAGGGCAAGAAATGCCCTTAGTGCCTGCCTGGGCCAGGACTGTAAGATTCATCAGCATCCATCACGCTCCTCTCCTTCCAGGATGCATGGCTAGGGCCCATTTCCTGGCTGCCTTTAGTGAGAAGGTGACTGGGCTCTGGCCACTGCAAAGCAGGAAGCAATGATATACTCACTAAACTCCACCAAATGCCCCTCCATGCTCTTTCTTGCTCATTGACCGGTAATGCAGAGGACACACTGGGGAACTAAAACCAGGGGGACGGCGGAGCCACAGATGGGAGGAACATGGGTCACAGTAAGCTTCCCCCTCCAACACACACACCAGACTGAAATGTGAGTGAGAAACACACCTCGGTTGTTCTAAGCCACTGAAAATTCTGGAGTGGAGAGTTAGAGCATTTACACATGGCTAACCTGAACTCTTGCATGTTAAATGTTTATTAAAATGAGAATGTCCTGAGCAGGAGTAACTTCCCCAAAGCCCCTCTACCTTGGCAGACAGAGCAAGACATTTGGGAAAACTCTTGCCCCACTGATGGACAGTTCAGCCCAATGAAGAGGAGTTCCGCCCAGCTCAGATCGCTCTCTACATTGAAAGGCCCCCAGGGAGGCCCCCTTTGGAAGTCACGATCATCAAGGTTGCACCTACCTTTCCAGCATGTACTCCAGGTTGGTCAGCCTCGCTTCCCCTGTGGAGACAATGTGGATGGCGTAGGAGCTGAGGGAGCGGTGGATGAAGCCCCGAGAATGCAGGTATCTCAGGGCATCGGAGATTTGGAGCAGCAGGTGCACGATCACCTCCATGTGCAGCACGGGGAACTGGGACCGCTGCAAGCAAGAGGTAAAATGGCCAGGAACAAAAGGGACTGGGCCCTCGACACTGTGGAATGCTTTGTAGTTTTCAAAATCTTTTCAATAGATCTTCACAGCTATCTAGCGTCCCCATTTTATAGATGGGGAACCTACAGCTCAGTGAGGCTAAGGGACTGGCCTAAGGTCCCACTGACACAGGACCCTGGCTCCACATCTAGGCTCCTTTCCCTCAGCTCAGCTGCTTCACACCATGAACAATGAGGTGACAGTTCTCAAAGCCTGGTAAGTACATTGAGGGTGGGCCCACCACCACTATGAACCTGCCCTCTCCCTGACCCTTATCCAAGCCTGTGCTGATGGGAGAACCTGGAAGCATAAATGATCAATCCAGCCCCTACCCCAGTCAGATGACCGAGAAAGTCCATCCTAAGAGGAAAGAAATCCACTCACACCAAAGTACCCAGCGGACCAAAGTCATAACGGCTCTCTCCCAGAGAAGTGACATTTCAACTTCATGGCCTCACCCAAAGAAAGGAAAGAGAAGCTAGAACACTAACAAGAGGTCCTCAGCCACGCTGGGGAAGAGCCCTTCCTGGAGGGTCTCTTCTTGCTCCTGCCCATGGTATTGAGAACAAAGTCATAGAGAAAGAGAAAACAAATCTTTCAGGACCTCTCTGAAGCCACATATCAGCCCAAAGCACCCCTTTACCCACCTTTGGAAATCTGAAAAGTGAGAGAGAACTGATAAAGGCTTGTATATAAACAAACCTCATTCTGCAGCAAAGGCCCAGCAGGGCACAAGTAAAAATACAGGGAAATAAGGCCAGTGGCTGTATGATTACAGTTAGCTAGAAATGCGTCTGTGTTTTCTCCATCTGTTGAGCTCTTAGATGTCTAATAAAGGAGGACTAACAATAATAAAATCATGCTAGTTCCAATGAGCTTAGCCTTAAATGGCACATTATACAGACCCCATGAAGTATAGAACTAAGATTTATCTTCCATGCATGCACGAGCAGGGACGCTCCTGCTGGGGTGGGGGTAAGGGGACAAGGCAGAGAAGTGGGAGGGCAACAAAGGAAAAGTCTATGGAAACAGTATTCACCCGTTCATGGAGAACAGCAAACAGTGTGCCAACGGTGATGCGCTCATACACGAGGCGGGTCCTCTCCAGGTCCTGAGACAGGCACACGGCCATCAGCTGCAGCAGGTGGGGGTGCCGCAGCTTGCTGCAAAAGAAGCTTCAGATGAGGCAGAGGGAAGAGGATGGATGAAACAAATGGGTACTTTCCATTCTTCTAGGCCGCTTGAAAGCATTTGCACAATGTTTTTCTAAGAAAACAGTATAGGGTGGTGTTGGGACGGGGGAGGGGGAGGTCTCTGCTCATAGAATCTGTGCCTCTCACTGATCAGACCCTGAAGGCTTAGAGTCATCAATGACATGTCACTAAGAGCTACTGGACAAGGCACTTTTCATACATCATCTCCACCCTAAGAACTACCTGCAAGAAAGGATCATTATACTCATTTTAGAAATGAGGACACTGAGGTCAGGGAGACATCAGAAACTTGCCCAAGGTCACACGCACCACTCAGTCTCATGTCAAAGTCCATGCTGTGCCTATGAGCCCTTCTGGCCTCCTTGGGTCCCTTTAGGCTGACTTCCTCAAAAGGAAGGGTCTGGCCTCTGACACGCCTCCTGGAGGAGTTGAGTGACCTCCTCAAGAAAGAGCTCTCTGAGCCAGGGTCCATTCCAAGGCCTTGGCAGCCCTATTGCGAACCATAAATCAAGCCCTTGCCTCAGCAAGAGATAAAGGACTAACCCTGGAGCCACAAGCAACCTAACATACTGGGACCCATGGGTGTGTCCTCAATGGCAGACATATGGTTCCTCAGATGTGTGGACTTCATGAGCAGCCACATATATGAAGTCAGGACAGCACATGGGCTTGAAACAGGGCAGGCCTTGGGGGCTGTGGGCCTGGAGACTGGACCACCAGAGACATAAGCTGTGGGGAGTCAATCAGCTGACAGAATTGAACGCCTCACCATCACCATCCTCACCCCCTAGCCTTTTCATTAATTCCTCTTTCTCTTTCTTGGCAGCCCTTAGACATCAAATCAGCCAACAATCAGGAAATGCTGAGGCTGGGGGCGGGGGAGGGGGGGGTGGCGCTGCTCTCTGCACCCCAGGGAGTCTGGCACAGCCCTGACCCTGAATCTGTAAACAGCCTGGACATGGAATGCCCTTGGGCTTCCTTCTCACCTGCTGTGCTCCTGTTCAGCAATCAACAAGTCAGCCAGCCGCAGCCTGCTGCAGTTCGGGTGGGTGGGGAGGCCCAGCTCCTTCACTGTCACTCTGCTCCCGTTCCACACCAGGCTGCAAGGGCAAGAGACGGTGCAAGCCGGAGGTAGTGAGCAGCTGGTGCACCGGTGAGGAGCTCTCCAGCCAGAGACCAGAGAAGTATAAACACAGAATCTGCAAAGCACCATTGGGTCCTCTTTCCTCCTCCCCCCATTTCCTAAAGCACCTTGGAGAGCTTAATACAAATGGCAGGAAGTCACTGAAAGATTCGACAAACGGAGGGATTAGATCAGGTTTGTACTTTAGAAAGGCAATGGCACCAGCAGTGTGGAGAATGGTAGAGCAGGGGTGGGCTGAAGAAGGGGAGGCCAGTCAGGAGGCTAGTCTGGGTGAGAGACAGTGATGACTTGGACAAATACAGGCAGTCCACAGCAGTGAAGAGAGAGATGAAGACCTGATGACAAATCTATGACATGGGTAGGAAAATGAGAAGCATATCTTCAGGGGATAGAGCGCCTTGTGGGTTGGGCAGAGGCCTTTATAGAAGGGTATTTCTTCTAAGCTGGGAAATATCCAGGTTCAAGGAGGCCAAAAGACCTTGGCCAGGACAACTGTAACCCTGTAGAAGGCAGGTCTCCCAAGGACCTTTGTCATGGCCAAATCTTGTTACTGCTGCCTCTGCTGCATTTGGCTGGTGAGAGCTGTAGCTGATGCCGGTTCTGGCTTCTACAAGCTCCTCGATACCCTCTGTCCTGTCTCAGAGGCCAGACAGTTACCACTACCCTGCCTCTATCTCTCTAGAAAGCCAAGAAGTTAAAATGTGGTCATGAGTAATCTTTCAGAGCGATTGTTCTCAATGGGGGACCGTTTGGCAACATAGACATTTTGGTTGTTACAATCACAACTGGAAGGGTGTGGCAAAGAGGGCTTCTACTAGCTTCTACAAAGTAGAGATCACAGATGCTGCTAAACATCCTACAATGCACAGGACAGCCCCCCAAAACGAAAGATATCTGGCCAAACATGTCAGTGGTGCCGAAGTTGAGAAAGCCTGATTTAGATATGTCCTTCGGTGTTTCCTTGTGTTAGGTTAGAAACCCTCCACACATAAGAAAGTCACACACAGCCCATACTTCCCGTGGGACTAAATCAGACCTCCCACTGGCCAGCGGAAGCTTACTTGGTCATGACCATGTATGGGCCACTGCAGAAAGAGAAGGCAGGCTCGTCATCAGCTTGAATCACTTCCTTTTCTCCAATTACTGGAAGAGATCCCAGATAGGCCAGCTGTGTCCCTCCTGTGAGATAAAACTGAAAGCAAAGCACAACTTCAAATTGTGGAGAGAAAAGCGAAAAAGTAAAATACCTCCAGAATCTTACCAGCCAGATAAAAATAATGATGGTTATTTACCAACC